AGATTGAAACTAAATATTTTTTTGTTTCGAAGTTGAAATCAAGGCATATTCACTGCCAAAAGTCAGTTAAAAATTTTCCATATTATTCGTTATTTCTTATTTTATTCAAAGTTTTTGGTTAAATTCCAAATTTTCTCTCAAACCGTATACTTTTTTTTAGTATAGATAGTATTTATTTACCTCATGATATGCTGCAAAGCCTAATTAATCACGAATTTCTAATTTTATGTACTCTTGTCTCCGATTGTACCTCCCAAACATCCTTAAACGAAAACTCTGATTTTTTTGTGATCAATATTCTTGGATTTATCCGCAAATTAGGCTAACGTTTCGCTTCTAGATTGGAAGTTTTATCAAAACTATTTGCTTATATATCTACGCATAACAAAAGTATTAAGCTTGCGTTACTTACACTCTGCTTTCTTGTATATTTACGGTACGACAGGTATAAATTTGATGCTTAACCCTTATTTAACCTCATTATGTTGAATGCGGGGAAATTGAAATTCTTATAAGTGAACTTCTATTGTGCTACACGATAATTTATTACCGACACCTCCCGCTGTAATATCTGTATATTATCCTTTTTGTATGCGATCAGCCTCGCGACTTGAGAAAAGTTACCCAATAAATAATTTGTTGTGTTACAAAGTGTAGTGGATAATGGCTGAAACTATGGCTAATGTACATATACATGATGATTTGTAGGTGGCTTTCTTCTTAAAACTTAACGGATTATTGCTTATTTTTACATAAAAATTCAAGTTATAGCTAATCGATCAATGAAAGCAAGACAATCCACGATAGCGAACGTACCCTGTTATCCATTTAAATATTTAAATATAGCTTTTCTGAAAAATTAATTACTTTACCAGGAGTTTGAAATATGTACATAATTGGTAATGTCGTTAAGATAAGCATTACATTTTCGAAACTCAATTTGTGACGACCTAGGTACCTATTTTCAAAATTTAGGGTTTTCAGTGTAGATTGTCCATTCGACATACGCAAAAGGCCTAAATGATAATGTTAATTTACCTTGGACTCTACACTCAAAGTTCTTCGAAAACTATGATAAATTGCTAAATACTATGAACAAAGAGTATCATGGATACTATAAGCGATTTTCAGGTTAAATCGTTTATTGCAAATAGAATTACAATGATCTCCACATTGGTTGTTATAAACATTGTTATGATCTGTTGCCGGTATATATATATATGTTAAAAATTGTTGATTTATGTAAACAACCAATGTATCGTTAAAAGGTGCCTTAAAATGAATGAAAGTTAACAACAGAAAATAAGAGATTTGAATCCACATAAAATAGGTTTGACCATTTTTTTTTACTTTTTTACTGCAATTTATTTTTACGAATCCTACCTAAAGTCGGACCACAAAAAAAGGCCTCACGAAAGTTGAACGAAATCCTTAATGTTGTCATTTATATGTGAGCAAAGTGTTATGCGATTTCAGGATCAGCAAAATAGCAATTCGAATAAATTAAGTAGTTGTTATCTTCGCTCGCGCATAATAATGATGATTACCTAATTAAAATTCTTACGCTTTGTACACGTCCAATAAAAAACTTGTAATGAAGATATTCCGTTTAAAATTGAAATTGTTATACAAATGTTAAGAGATTCCATTTTATTATCTAACAATTATTTTTACGGTTAGATCAGAGTTAAACGAAGATGACTTCAGCGTCCTTTTTAGGGTTCCGTACCTCAAAAAGGAAAAGGGAACCTTTATAGGATCACTTCGTTGTTCGTCTTTTTGTTTGTCTGTTAGGATCTTATTTGTCAGGGACAAGTGGAGATATCAAATTGAAATAAAATTGGTGTCAAATAGTCAGGTCTGTAATCACTTGGAGCTGTAAATAATTCAAAGACCATATTTTGATCCTCGTAAGGGAATTTAAAACCTATAGAGTTGTTCCCGTAGATCTAGAATCATGAAATTTGGCAAGAAGTAATGACGTATACACAAGTAAAGAAAAAATCCCGAAAACCGTAAATTGTAGTTACATCACCTTAAAAATGATTTTCTAATTGTAATATTGTAATTATACCTTTTGGGGTCTGATTTTAGGGGTAAGCACATTTCATGTAGGTACCTAAATTAAATTTCAGTCTCCATGCTGTATTCTTCCTTATTCAGCGATTTTAGTGTCTTTATCTTGTTACAATAAAAAGATTAAGTTGTATATTATTTAAAAATTCAATTATTTCAAACACGCTAACGAGATTGATAGGAACTAGGCGAGATAAGTTGAGGCATGAAGAGCTAGTTATATTAGATTGCTGTTCGCAAATTGTTAAACATGTGGAATATTCTAGTTATAGGGGAAATGCGAAGATTAGCTCAGAATAGGAAAAACTGCAGGAGGGTTTCCAAACACTTGTCAACCGTATGATGCTGATGATGATGATGATTTGATTGTGCAAGGTTTCACATATTTATTTAGTTCATTCAAAAAAAGAAGAATAGTAACGTAGTAGGTAATTTGTAAAATGTGATCAAAGAGCTAGTTATATTAGATTGTTGTTCGCAAATTATTAAAAATGTTTGAAGAAATGCCAAGATTAGCTCAGAATAGGAAACATAACATAGTAGGTAAAATGTGATCAAAGAAGGTTTGCGTCATTAATTTTATTCGGTCAGTGTAGGTACAGGTGGAAATATCCTGTTTTCGTGTATGTTTAGCTGGCAGGGTTGAGGGGTTTTTAATGCCTTCTTAAATTTTATAATCAAAAGCGTCCGTTTAATTGCTCGTTTTATGGATCTCCGGACCATAATATTAAAAGTAAACATGTTTTACTTGAATAAACCAATAAAGAGAGGGACTGTTAACAGAAAAATAAAACTCTCCGAAGCACTCGTTACTATTTGTTTCTTTTTTTTTTATATATACCCATATAAGGTACGCTTCATAACGCTAAAACACAAACTTATAAAACGATAAACGACTACCTATCCACTAAAATAATAAGGAGGTAGGTAAGAACGGTTTATACGACTGACCAATAAAAAAGGCATGTAAAAGTCTAAAAATATCGACTATATAACGACGTGTTTTCTTTGCAATAAATCATTATTAATTTTAATGAAGCACTTAACTTTATTTATGAGCCGTGACAGTCAAGAATGCGAAAATTTAACTCTGTTTAAACTGTACATACGTGTGTATACTTAATACATAAAAGGAATATAATATTAATGACACATAACCGAACAATTAAAGTAATTATTGACCTTTTAATGTCCAAATGCGAGCAATGTACTTAGCGCTTTTTAATTGCTTCCTTTTCAATTTCGAACCACTTATGCATATTCAAGAACCTGTTTGTTAGTCATTTTTTCTTTTAATTGAGAAATCAGTAATGTCGATTTATGGAATTCAATATCATAACGGTGTTTCTAATTATTATTTGTTTTTTTTTTTATTTCTGTAATTATATTTACATACCTACCTACCTTGTTGGGAAAACTAATAATGTTGTTGATTGTAATTGTATACCTAAATTCGAGACTATGAACGTGAATAAAAATGAACAATGACAAATCATTGAAAAAGTGTATTAAAATAAATAAAACTACTTACCCCCTTTTAATGTGACGATATGTTCGTAATCTGTAACAAAAAATAGTTTAACGAAAAATGAATTTAATCTATAAATGTAAGAAAAGAACTTAAATGTATACATGTTTGAACTTCCAGAAATGCGTGAAAGATTGTCAATATGTTATGGCTAAAGTAATAGTCAAATGTTCCTTTAAATGCTAAAATAAACGCATCTTTATTATTGTATTAGGACAATTTAAAATGTAAATGTGACTATATTTGTTTAACCTTATCTAGTGCAATAGTTTAGATATAGTCGTTTCAGTAAAAAATTTGAATAATTCTTGCGTTAAAAAATTTCTGAGATTTTCATGACATATTTAGGAAACTAAACAATTGTTTGAAGATTTTAATAGCTATCGTGTCGAAGATTGTATAATTTGTCAGCGAAAGTATTTCAATTTCGTTAACAAAAATTTTTGTTCTAAATATAAACGAAAAAAAGCCACCGATCTTCACCGATATGAAATATAGTACATTTAGCCCAAAACTTCCACCAAACTTCAAAACCCGTTCTGCAATGAAATTACAGTTGCTTCAGTTATTTTAAATTTTTGTTAAAGGATTTTTCATTGAATGTTTGGAAAAACAACTCAGAAAGGAATTTCTTATTATAAATATACACTAGTGGCAAATCGAGAACCGAAAATATAAATTTTCGGTTACTTTAGGACAGTTTTCAGAAAAGCAGGTGATATTTTTTGATAGACGTGCTTGAAAAAACATATTCCATGCATGTTCACCAAATTATTCATAAACAAATGCGTAATTTTTGTTGACTCGGCCTTTTCACCCTATAAGAACTGCATACAATTAGACAACGTACCATACTACGTGACCAATTTTTTTGCTATTTTTTACCCCTTCACCCCCTGCAGTATATGCCAAAATCCCCCTTCCTCTCTATGTTTTACGCAGTAATTCACAAATATGGTTTTAGATCATTTTTTACAAACAGAGCGTTCGGATATAAATCAAATAGCGAGAGATTTTCCTAGAGGATATTGACTACGTCATGAAAACCTAAGTCCTTTGTGATCAAGCATAGTATATTTGAAGACCCCTGATGGGTCACGCAGTATTGTACGTTTCCTTATCTAAATTCGGAAATCCAATGTCGTTATTTGTCGTGTTCACTAAACAAAAAGTTTTCACAATATTAATTTTGTTTCAGGGAAATCCATACGCTTTAAAGGACGCCAGTGGCACGGCTGATATGAGTGCCTGGACAAGTGCAGGATTACAAGCAACTACTGGTTATTATTCTTATGATCCAGCTTTAGCAGCTTATGGGTAAGTTACTAAATAAATAATGTATTCTAAACCAGGGGTGGCCACCCCGCGACCGCTTTGAAAATTCAAGATAGTTTTATAAAATATATTTATTTTATAATGGTCGCTGGTTTTCGGTATCTGGGAAGTCAGATAACTCAGGATGGAGGAGTAGTGTTAGGGAAATCACTTAAATTAGAAATTCGAAAAAGATTGTTAAAGGTGTATGTCTGGAACACGGTGCTGTACGGATGCGAAATGTGGATGATGTGCGGTTAGAAGTGTTTGAGATGTGGTGTTCATGAGGATAGCCTCGATAGAGAAACTTAGATATGGGGATGTACTAAAAGAAATAGGAGAACAGAGGGCGCTATGGATGTCAATAGCAATAGGCGAGATAGGATTTTCCATCTATTCAAGCATGAGCAGCTAGTTAGAAACATATTAGAACTAGAAGNCGGAACTACAACCCGTGCCGGAACAACCACCCGCGTCGGAACTGCCAGTCGCCCAGCCACGGACAACGCCCTTGCAACAGCGGACAACGCGGTCAGGACGGCGCGTACGATTTCCAGACCGCCTACAAGTCGGGTTTTCGTGACTCCATCACTGGCAGGGGGGTACTGTGGCGAAATAACTCTTTTTGTTTTTTCTGTGTGTAAATATTTTTTCTAATTTTATTTCATTTCAATTAATATTTCATTTCAAGTAATATTTCCTTTCAGTCTAAACTCTATTGTTCTTTCAATCACTTTTACCTGGAAATCCAACTTCAACCATACCTGCATGCACTCCCAATATATTATTCTACATGCTGCCCACCGAGTTTTAATTCATTTCTATAGTGGCCCGCAAGACCATTTGGGCTGGTCACCCCCTGTTGTAAACCATTGTTCGTGTTTCTAGCATTTGTTTTTTTTCACTTCATATTTATGGCAATGAGAATAACTGCGATATATTATATTTTAAAAACTGTTAACAAGTAAAAACATGTGTTTGGATGTTTTGTGCGTACGCATGACCTCCCTGGTCTTCCAACACTGCTCTAGAACAGAAACCGGAATGCTGAAATGTAATATCAATACTGGGAGACCTAAGGTTGTTCTGTTTGCTTCTGTTCTAGATCGTGTTGGGTCTACCTTTCCGCGTCCTTCTGTTTTTTCCTACGAAACCTTGTGCATGCAATTTATCGTGTCTACAAGATAAAAACGAGGAATTGTCATGAAATTTAATGGTACCTACTTGCCGGGGAATATACAATATTTAGGGAATTTGAATAAAATCATGTAATCTTGATTCTATTAAAGTTGTAATCTATTCTTCTACAAACTATTATGTTTGGGAAATTACGACAAATGGCGCTGTAAACGCCATCTGTAGTACAGTGCTACATTTTAGGATTACGTATGCTAAATTGTAGCACTGTACTACAGATGACGTTTACAGCGCCATTTGTCGTATATTCTAAAAGGCGCTGTTAAGGCAGCAGGTAAAAGTTGGTCTGTGTTCTGTCGGAGCTGCCTGCGACGCGCTGATGAGATCCAAAAAGATCGAAATCGCGATCCGCGTCTGGCAGTTTCGACAGAATACAGACCACTTCGAA